AACCTGAAAAATGAGGGGTCATTTCTGCCATATCTTATTTAAAACTCAGCTGGAATCGGCCACCTTTGGCCGAATCCTGGGTCCCCCCTCCCCCCACAGGGGCTCCCGTGTAGGGTCCTAGTGACGCACTTCGTCGGCATATTCATTTTTTCCCCTTGTGGGCCCTAAACCCTGATGCCCTTCGTCGGCATATTTTTTCCCTTGGTGGGCCCTAAACCCCGACACCCTTCGTCGGCATATTGTTTATTTTTTTCTTCCCCGCCCCCCTGGTGGGCCCTAAACCCTGACGCCCTTCGTCGGCATATTGTTTGCTTTTTCCTGAGGCCGGGAATCACTTGCGTGGACATCCACCGCTCCGATGCCAAGCGGGTGGTGACTGGTGGCATGGATGCTCAGGCCGGGACTCTGAGAGTTTTGGGGGCTGAGGGTGCAGGGGGCAGGGTTTAGGGTTTAGGGTTTAGGGTTTAGGGTTTAGGGTTTCGGGTTTAGGGTTTAGGGTTTAGGGTTTAGGGTTTACGGCTTAGGGTTTAGGGTTTACGGCTTAGGGCAATTTTCGAGTGCCAAACCTCCGGTTTCGGGTTGGCAGGGTGACCCTCCAGTTTAAAGGGTTTAAAGGGTTTAAGGGGTTTAAAGAGGGTTTAAAAGGGTCAAGCTGTTTAAAGGGTTAAAAGGGTTCAAAAGGGCTTAAAAGGGTTTACAAGGGTTTAAAAGGGTTGAAAAGCGGTTAAAAGGGTTTAAAAGGGTTTAAAAGGGTTTAAAAGGGTTTAAAAGGGTTTAACGGGTTAAAAGGGTTTACATGGTTGATCGGGTTAATCGGGTCTGGGGGCTAAGACATATTCCGATCCCTGTTGCGATTTAAGAATCTTCCCTACCAAAGGGATTTGGGCATTTGCCCCGCTAGGGGTACCCTTAATGCACCCCCCAAACTAGTAGTCCCTTATTATTGGAACCCCCCAAACGGGTACCCCCATTTTCGGAAACCCCCCCATATGGGCATCTCCGACAACCCCAAGCACTCTGTCTGAAGCATAAATTCTAAAGTGGGTGTCCGGGTTTAAGTCTGGGTTGAGGACGTTCGGGAGAATATGGTCTCTTTTGGGGCCTTCATTTATACGGGGGCCCCCTCTTATTTAGGGTACCCCAAACGGGACCATCAGGGAGAGAACTGACCATATGATAAGTAGCTGGTCATTCCTGTGTGCCCTAAACCCTAAACCCTGAACCCTAAACCCTAAACGCCAAACCCTAAACCCTAAGCCCTAAACCCTAAAACCTAAACCCTAAACCTAAACCCTAAACCCTAAACCCTAAACCCTAAACCCTAAACCCTAAACCCTAAACCCTAAACCCTAAACCCTAAACCCTAAACCTAAACCCTAAACCCTAAACCCCAAACCCCCAACCCCAAACCCCAAACCCTAAACAGGCTTTCACAGTGGATGCCAGCCCGCGCCGACCAGGTCATCGTCTTTGACGCGGAGAAAGGGGCCATGGCCGACAAGCTCCTGGGCCACACGAAGAAGGCTGGGACGCTAAGCCTAAACCCTAAACCCTAAACCCTACACCCAAAACCCTAAATCCTAAACCCTAAACCCAAAACCCTAAACCCAAAACCCTAAACCCTAAACCCCAAACCCTAAACCCTAAACTTGAAACCCTAAACCCTTACTCCCTTTGCTTGGAGGGTTCGGATCCCTTATGAACAGAACCATACAGGTAGCAGGAGTGCCAGTGTTGTTTTAATTCTCCTAGGTTGCTGGCAAGCCGAGAAGGCCTCAGATTTGTCTGCAGAAGCGGAGACCCCCCCCGCCCAAAAGCTTCCGACTGCTCACATCTAAAGCCCTAAGCCCCAAGACCCCAAAGCCCTAGAGGCCCTCAACCCTAAACCCTAAGCCCTAGAACCCTCAACCCCAAACCTTAAACCCGCGAACCCTCAACTCCAAACCCAAAACCCTCGAACCCTCAACTCCAAACCCTAAACCCTGGAACCCTCAACCCCAAAACCTAAACCCTAAGTCAAGAGCCTCGCTTATAAGCTCAAAGGGGTGCCTCCTCGATTGAAGCCCTCGCCCTGCTGCAGATCACGGCTGTGGCCCTGCATCCTACCAAGGTCCGGCCCTCACAAGCGGGGTTGGAGGTTTTAGGGTTCGGTTTCCGGATGTGGGTTTTGCGGGGGGGGGGGGGGGGGGGGGGATAGGGTTAATGATTTCAGGGTGTAGGGTTTCGGGTTTTAGTTATTTGTTTTTTGTTTTTTACGCTGAGGGTTGAAGATTTAGGGCCGAGGTTTAACTCCCAAACCCAGTGGCGCTGGGACTTTGTACGCTGAGGGTCCACTTGCCTAAGCCGTTTGCAAACGCATTCTTTAAGTTATCAAGCCCAAAACCGAGTTTACACTTTTACACGTGGCCCGCGCGCGAGTGCCCAGGGAGCCGCGGAAAACACGAAAGACGTAATTTGGGATGCTCCCCCTGATACTAACAGTCCTTAATTGGGATTATACTGTAGTACCCCCTATTATAGTCCCCGTAAAGGAGCTGTTAGTACAAGGGGGAACATCCCAAGACGTATTTTACGTTTTGCGCTTTCTTACGGACGGTAAACCCTGCGCAGCCCTCTATGGTGTGGGGTTTAGGGCTTACAAGTTCATGTGTGGGGAAAAGGCGCGCCCTCCGTCTGCTGCTTGATCTGTAACCCTAAACGCTAAACCCTAAACCCCAAGTCTAAGCAGGAGCAAGGTCTTGTTCAAGCTGTAGTTCTGCTCTTGTTCAAGCTGTAGTTCTGCGAGGGAGGTGAGCGGTAAGTGATGATTCATGTAGCGCCAGAGCTCAAGCATCACCGAAACAGCTGATCGCGGGCTTGCGGTAGCTCCACGGAATCCCTAAACCCCTGAAAACCCTGAACCCCGAAACCTTTGAATTCCCAAGCCCCAAACCCCTAAACCCTAAGCCCTGCAGTAAACCCCAAAAAGTTGGAACATCCTTATCCTCATACCCCTGAAGGTATACTAAAGGGAATCCCAGCTCTTATCATCCCTAAACCATGTTCCAACTTTTTGGAGTCTGAGTTTACTGTAAACCCTAAACACCTGAATCCGTAACCCTAAACCCTAAACCCTAAACCCTAAACCCTAAACCCTAAACCCTAAACCCTAAACCCTAAACCCTAAACCCTAAATCCTAAACCCTAAACCCTAAACCCTGAACCCTAAACACCTGCATCCGTAAACTCTGAGGACGTGGTGCTCTCTGCGTCCCAGGATGCCACAGTCAAGGCCCACACGGCTGTTGCGGCTCTCATTGCCGGTTTAGGGTTTAGGGTTTTGGGTTTAGGGTTTAGGGTTTAGGGTTTTGGGTTTAGGGTTTAGGTGTGTGTGTGTGTGTGTGTGTGTGTGTGTGTTATAGGGTTTAGGGTGCGGGGTCTGTTTGGGGTCTTGGGTTTAGGGGTCAGGGGGCTTAGAGGGGTTATTGGGCTTAGATAGGGGTTTATTATAGGGTTTAGCGTATTTGGTTTGGGGTTTAGGCGCGTTTGGTGTTGGATTAGCTTCGCCTCGCCCACGCAGAAGACAGACCGTGGCTTGGTCCAAGGAACCTCCCGAGCTTCACGGAGGACGACAACCAGGGTTAGGGTTCAGGGTTTAGGGTTTAGGGGTTTAGGGTTTAGGGTTTAGGGTTAGGGTTTAGGGTTTAGGGTTTAGGGACCCCAACCCCTCAGCTAAAAATTCGGTATAAACTTTAAACCCCACGTGCCCCTTAAGCTCTGAAACGATGGCGGAAGCCGCGTCCGGCACGCCGAGCGCCAAGCGCCTCAAGGAGAGCCCGGGCTCGGAGCCTTCGCCTCCTGGCGCGGGGTCGGCAGGCCTGCAGTCGCAGCTGAGCCCAGGGAGGGCGCTGCTCTTGCAGCTGAAGGAGAGTGCTGAAATTTATCCCAAAACCTTCCCTACACCCTAAACCCTAAACCCTAAACCCCAAACCCCAAACCCCAAGCCCCAAACCCTAAACCCTAAACCCTAAACCATGCACCTTTAAGTAGAGGGGTCTTGGAGGAGCTGCTCGAGAGCCCCTACGATTGGCACTTTCTGAGCGCCACCGACCGCAGCCTCCGTCACCTCGCCGATGGGCCGAGCTCACCTCTGCTGCTTGGGTTTGGGGTTTGGGGTTTGGGGTTTAGGGTTTAGGGTTTAGGGTTTAGGGTTTAGGGTGAAGGGTGAAGGGTGTAGGGTTTAGGGTGTGGGGCTTGCCAAGGTTCCGCGCACGCCACCACGCGAGACATGCGTTGTGGCGTGCGCCCATGTCCATCGTACCCACCCGCATCTCAACCTTGGGCGGGTTTAGGGTTTTCATCTTGTTGTTGGGCTATCGCTTTCCTTATCTAGCCTTCCCGAAGGCTTTCTGACCTCACATGTAAAATCCTCTGTTCAAAGGCCGACGACGATTCATAAAATCCTCGGTTCAGGCGGTGAAGATGACTTTAGATGAGAGGCCCCAGTCACACGTAAAATCCTCGATTCAAAGGCCGTCGCCCGGTTCAGGTGGTGAAGATGATCTTAGAAGAGAGGCCCAGTCACACGTAAATTCCTTGGTTCAAAGGCCGTTGACGATTCATACAAATGGCCTGAAACCCCTCTTTGGGACCCCCCTCTCACCCGCTTGAAACGCCTAAACGCTAGGAAGCCCTGGGCCTTGCCGACTCCAGGGTTTAGGGTTTAGGGTTTAGGGTTACAGGGAGGATGCACCAGGGCCACTAAAACTTGGGGTTTGGGGTAATTCTCTTTGGAGCCGGCTTGACGCTGGCACGCGAATTAAACCCTTCTAGGCGTGGGGCACGCTGACCGCGTGCAACGTCCCCGAGCCCTCGCGGTCTCCCACGGCTCGCTCCAGTTCAGGGTGTAGGGTTTAGGGTGTAGGGTGTAGGGTTTAGGGTTTAGGGTGTAGGGTGCAGGGTCTAAAACCTTGAACCATAGACGCCATTGGTCCATGAAGCAGCTACCCTAACTCACGCTTATGCCCAGGATCCATGCCGTGCAGCGATTCAAGTCAGAGTTGTCATCTTGGACCGTAGACAAGCTGGTGACAGAGGCCGACCGAGATCTACCCGATGGAGACCGTGTGATCTTCGCCTCGTGCCTGTTGGGCCGCTCGCGCAGCGTGTCTTCGGTCTCCGCGCTGGAGATCATGCGCTCTCTGCGAACTTTGCTGTCGAAGCGGGTGGTCGGATGGCCTTCTGACAGTGCTTGGGATTGTTGGGGGACCGGGCTCCGAATGGAATTTCCGGATGAGGACTCCGAAAGTGGGAATGGCGAAACTGGCGGCAGTAGCAGCCTTAGACTCTCGGATCGTGGGGTGTTGCGCCTTCTTGTGCGGCTCATGGAGCTTTTTCCTCTCAGTCGAGAGCTTCAGCAACAAGGATGCTACCTACTTTCCGTCTTTGACGGCAGTGCAGAATTACCTCAGTGCTGCACGCTGGTGTTGGTTGCAATGGAGACATTTCCGGACGCAGCTCGGCTCCAGAAAAATGGCTGTCGCGCCATCGGAAGCTTGTGGCTCTCTGAATCGCATCGGCAGCGGCTGCTGTCCCTGGGAGCGGTGCAGGCGATTTCGGCGGCCATGGAAAAGCATCCCGAGTCCCTGACCCTCCAGCGGATAGCCATCGATGTGTTCCACTGCCTATTTAGCCGTGGGGCCAGAGAAGGGCAGCCTCAGTGGGACGCCAGTCAAGAGGTGGCAGCCATGAGCTCCCTGTTGTGGGCGGCCGAAAAGCACCTCGGCCGCCCACCGCTGCAGTTTCTCACCTGGTATGCCATTCACGAAGCATTGGATCGACCGAGGAGCATGTTGAGTTTTTTGGAGTCTGGCGGCATGGTCATGGCTTTCCGGACCTTGACGAAATACAGCTCAGACGCAGCCTGTGACGGGTGGATTGGGCTTCGGGTTTCAGCACTGGCAGCTGTCTGTTTGGCATGCGCAGATGCCGAGGGACAGAGGCATGTGCAGGAGTGTCATGCTGAACTTCTACTGGAGACTTTAGAGAATGAGACGTGTCACGGCGTCATAAAAATTTGTGGTGCTGCACTTGCAGGTCTTGCAACCGAAGCGGGCTGGGCTCGCTGGCTCGCGCGCAGAAAGGCTGCTGCTGGAATTGTGCGGGCCATGCACGAAGCAGTGCTCCGGGCTGGAGGTGCTGAGAGCGAGCTGGCGTGCAGGAAGGTGGGCTGCGCCGCGCTGGCGGCGCTCTCTCGCTTCGGCCTGGATTCCGAGAGCTCCCTTCTCATGCTGCAGTTCGTGCTGAGGTCCATGACGGTACGCCCTGAGCACTTCGCCATTCAATTTTGTGGGGTCTCGGTCTTGACACACTTGAGCCTCGCCGACGTCCAGAAGGCATCCGCACTGGGTGCCTGCGATGCTGTGGTAGCCGCCATGCGCGCGCACGAAGGGGAGGACATGCAGATCCACGGCTGCCGTGCCCTGGCCACCTTGTGTGCCCACGCGCCCAACAAGGCCGTGCTTGCCCAGTGCCAGGTGGCCTGGCGCTCCAAATCAAGCGCCCCTCTTGGGGTTTCGGGTGTATGGCGTTCAGGGATCATATGGACCTTAAGAACGCAATGTGACTAAAATGTTCAGGCAGCTGCAAAGAGATCCAAACCCCAAGACCTCAACTTGAAGCCCGAAACCCTACACGTTTCCTGACTCCCTAAACCCTAAACCCTAAACCCTAAACCCTAAACCCTAAACCCTAAACCCTAAACCCTAAACCCTAAACCCTAAACCCTACACCCTACACCCTACACCCTAAAAACCCTAAACCCGCCAAAAAACCATGGAATAGAGGTCGTGCCGCTCTTCATGGACTCTCTTGCAAGGCTCCCAGCCAGCAGCCCGTTCCAGAAGGAGGCGCGGAAGCTGCTCCGCACCCTGCGCCCAAGCTGCTGTTAAGACAGTTTTTCAAGAGCAAGGGTTTAGGGTTTAGGGTTTAGGGTTTAGGGTTTAGGGTTTAGGGTTTAGGGTTTAGGGTTTAGGGTTTAGGGTTTAGGGTTTAGGGTCTAGGGTTTAGGGTTTAGGGTTTAGGGTTTTGGTGTTTAGGGTTTAGGGGTTTGTTTATTGCTATATTTTTTCATGGTTCTTGTTAAGGGTTCAGGGTTTAGGGTGACAGTTCTCTGAACTTATATGGCTCCTGATTTGTGCAGCCTTTATGAGGCGCCGCCCTTTGAGGAGCCGTCGAACTGTAGACGATCAGCCCTACAGCCTAAGATTGGGTCCGATTCTGCGAGAATCCCCAAACCACTAAACCCCCACAAGCCCGAAACCCCTAATTACCCCGAAGCCCTCAACCCTCTCAACCCTGTCAACCCTGTCAACCCTATCAACCCTATCAACCCTATCAACCCGATAAACCCGATAAAGCCTATAAACCCTTGAAACCCTTGAAACCCTAGAAACCCTAGAAACCCTATAAACCCTATAAACCCTATAAATCCTATGAACGCCGCAAACCCTATAACCCTTAAAACCCTATGGACCCCCTTTCCCCCAAAATCCAAAGCCCTAAACCCTAAATAAACCCTAAACCCTAAACCCTAAACCCTAAACCCTAAACCCTAAACCCTAAACCCTAAACCCTAAACCCTAAACCCCACAAACCCTATAAACCCTCTAAGCCTTACAAACCCTGCAGATGAGGAGCCAGGATGCGGATGCGCAATTGCACAGCCGGGAGCTGCGACTGGTGAGCCTGCTCTCCTAGATCCCAGGTGTCCAGGTCCCGGACCTAGGGGTTTAGGGTTTAGGGTTTAGGGTTGAGGGTTTAGGGTTTAGGGTTTAGGGGAAACCCTAAACCCTAAAACCTAGCCATCATCCCTTAGCCAACGTCGGTGGAGTCCATATCCTTCCATGCGCATTCAGAGCAGCAAGCCCATGTTGTGCTTAGGGGCCCTGGCCCTAAACCCTAAGCCCTAAGCCCTAAACCCTAAACCCTAAACCCTAAACCGTAAACCCTAAACCCTATAGACTCTGAACCCCCCGGATAAACCTATAGACTTGAACCCCCGGAAAGGTGGCGTTGAGGGAGTTCGGGGCAGTCAGAGCCGCGAGGGGCGAGACGTGGCTTGCACACCGAAAAAGAAGGAGTCATCATTTGGGGCTTTCCGAAATTGGGGGGCACCTTTTCGGGGTCCATATTATGGGCGAACCCCCCATGTACTCGCTGCACTGCTTCCGCTGTGCACGGGTATACTCATCATGTGTGCTTTAAGGGAACCCCCACCACTTGGGGGTCTATTTTAGGGGGCTAACCCCAAGCCAGTAATCAGACGGTCTGAACGTCACGCTGCGACCATTGAAGCCTACTCGCCCACACCACGGAAGTTTCAATCTAAGGGCTGCATCAGTCTGTAAGTTTGAGAACGGAAGGTTTAGGGTTTGGGGTTCAGGATAGTGGGTTTAAAGTTGAGGGTTGAGGGACTTGTCACGCTTTAGTCTCCTAACCTCAGGTGTCAGAGCTACACTTCAAGGGATACTTCTAGACCCTGCACTCTCAACCCCCAAAACCTGTTTTCTTGACACGTTAGGATGCTTGAAGGGAAATACCTGAAACCCAAATATCCCAATATCCCATCGTTAAACGCCCTAAACCCCATCCCCCAAACCCTAGACCCTCAACCCCAAACCCTCAACCCCAACCCCTAAACCCCAAACCCTAAACCCCAACCTTCAACCCCAAACCCTAAACCCCACACCCTAAACCCCAAACCCACACGCTGACCCCCAGACCCCTCCAAATCTCTGGGTAGGTGTGGACTTCTGGCACTGAGTGGACCGGCCCGTTCGCTTCTCAGATCTTAGCTTCCACGGTGTTTGGGGTCAAGGGCTCAGGGCTCTAGGCGTTGGGGTTTAGGGTTTAGGGCAGTTTAGGGTTTGGGGTTTTGGGGTTTGGGGTTTGGGGTTTAGGATGTCTGCGTCACCGATGCATCAATGACAGTTGAGGGTTTGGGGCTTGGGGTTCAAAAGTTCAGGGCTAGGCATTCGCGTTTCGTGGAACGAGGGCCCTAAACCCTCAGCCGATCCTCTCCGCTGAAGGTACACTTGCCGCCATACGATCCGAAAGCACACGGCTGAGGCACGAGACTTTTGGCACGTTTCCCCTTTCATCCCCAAATGCAATCCCTCCACCTTGCCTCAAAAGATTTATGGCCCTTTGAGCCCGAAACCCGAAAGCCGAATTTGTATGGCTTGGGATGTTCCCCCTTCTACTAACAGTCCTTAATGGGATTGGAGTGGTACTGTAATCCCTTTTCAGGACTGTTAGTATAAGGTGGAACATCCCAAGGCATGACGCTCCGCTCAATGACTTTGCTCTTCAGCCCTACTTGGAGGTTCATGGTGCTGAATAACCCACTTTTATCCGTACTTATCGCCCAACCATAACAAAGTTAGGGCACTTCAAGGGCTTATAAGGGGGTCAGAAGTACAGTTACATATGTATATGTATATATATATATGTATATAATTGGGTTATAAGTACCGTGAACCTCCAAGTAAGCCCTAAACCCCGAAAAGCCTCGGTCAACGCATGCTGCATCGAGTGGCTGATGGCAGGTGAGCGACATCTCCATCCACCCACTAGGCGCCTCTTCAGCTGCCAAGCGAACCAAACCCCAAGCCTTCAGCCGACCCCAAATCCTCAACCCCCAAAAGGCATAATCTCCCTGAAAAGACAACACCTAAAGCCTTAAATCCTTAGACCCTTTTAGGCCTACCCCCCCCTGCACCCCAGAATCTTGGGGCCCGCAGCAGCGACCCTCGCGCGCACGCGCGCGCGCAGGCGACTACTTCCTCAGCGCAGGGCTGGACAAGTCCTGGGATCCTTGGCAGCTCAGGGCTTCCGCAGGGGTGTTAGGGTTTAGGGTTTAGGGTTTAGGGTTTAGGGTTTAGGGTGTGGGGTTTAGGGTTTAGGGCTTAAGGTTTAGTAGGGGTTACCGGGCGCTGAGGTTGAGGGTCGAGGGTGTAAGTGTTCGGTGCTTTGGGGCTGATCGGCTTCTTTACAGGGTCGAGGCAGGTGGACTTCGAAAAGCTTGTTTGAAAAAGCTAGGGTCCGGTTTAGGGTTTAGGGTTTAGGGTTCATAGTTTAGGGTTTAGGGTTTGAGGTTTAGGGTTTAGGGTTCAGGGTTCAGGGTTTAGGGTTTAGGGTTTGGGGTTTGGGGTTTCGGGTTTGAACCCGCTTGAGACGAGGCTGTCTTTGAGCTCGAGTCTGGGCGCTGCGATCCTTGGCAGCCTTGGGGGCTTAGGGTTTAGGGTTACAGGGTTTAGGGTTTTAGGGTTTAGGGTTTAGGGTTTAGGGTTTAGGGTTAGGGCTAATCATTCAGGAAGCAATGACTCCGGCAGCCTTCTTGAATACCCGAATTGAGAACTACACTACGAAACTTCCCTAAACCCTAAACCCTAAACCCTAAACCCTAAACCCTAAACCCTAAACCCTAAACCCTAAACCCTAAACCCTAAACCCTAAACCCTAAACCCTAAACCCTAAACCCTAACCTAAACCCTAAACCCTAAACCCTAAACCCTAAACCCTAAACCCTAAACCCTAAACCCTAAACCCTAAACCCTAAACCCTAAACCTTAAACCCTAACCCGACAGTATCGATCCCCGGTATCGATCCTAAACTCCTTTTGGGGGTCTGGGGCTTGCAACCACAACAGATGCTCTAGATGCACCTTGTCTTCCGTCACACACGCTACACGCTGAAACAATGTGCTTTGTTGTTTTGTTTTGATTTTGATTTGTTTTTGTCTAGTTTTGTTTTAAATGGGTTGGTTTTCTACAACTTTCTTCTGTCACTATTGGCATGCCCATGAAATGGCCTTGGAGCATGTTACCAGTCCCCTGAGCCTACAAGCAGCTCCAGGTCAAGCAACTGCGCGAGCAAGAGCACGGCGACGCAGCTGCAAAAAGACCTCCCCCGGTCGCTTCGGGTTTAGGGGGGTGTTTAGGGATGTTTGGCCATGCATGTGGGTGCCTGTTCTGGAGGCAATCCGGTTCAGAGGGGAGTTTCAAGATCGAATGCTCGTTGAACTTTGGGGGTTCATGCAAATTTTGGGGGTGGGGGGAACCCTAAACCCTAAACCCTAAGACCTAAACCCGAAAGCCGAAACCCAGAATTTGGATCGGAGCTGCACCCTGAAGGCTACAACTGCATGAAGTGGCATCCGGATGGAATGATCCTTGCCGCAGGGACACAGGCCTTTGGGTGGGGCGCCGGGTCGGACTCCTTGAAGGTTCATGGTGGTCATAGCCCCAAAAAGGTTGCAACCGGGTTTGTTTTTTGCAGCCTCGTTGTAGCTGGGCGCAAATCATGGGTTCAATTACTACCCCCTCTATACTACCGCCCCTAGGTACCCCTCTCCCTCTGAAATAACCTGAACTAGGCTAAATTATCCCTAGATAGGGGACCCTAAACCCTAAACCCTAAACCCTAAACCCTAAACGCTAAACCCTAAACCCTAAACCCTAAACCCTAAACCCTAAACCCTAAACTCTAAACCCCAAACCCTAAACCCCCAAACCCTAAACCCTAAACCCTAAACCCAACTCACTGGGGGATTGCACGAATGGCTCCATTCTTCGGAACTCACAGTCGGCCACGCTGCGTTGCGCAGGGCGGGCCTGTGCAAGTCTGGGACATCAAGGACTTCCTCCGGGGCTGAGGTTAGGGTTTAGGGTTTAGGGTTAGGGTTTAGGGTCTCGGGTTTAGGGTTGAGGGTTTCAAGCATGGCCATTCTGTTTCGGAACTCTTTGTGTTCCTGGTGTTCGAGTTTGTTTGGGCTTAAGGTTTCAGCGGGGCTTGAGGTTTCGGGTTGGGGGCTTGGGGGCCTCATTGTGTTTTTGCCTGCACGGGTGTAGGATACCCCAAAACCCAAAACCCTAAACCCTAAACCCTAAACCCTAAACCCTAAAGCCCTAAACCCTAAACCCTAAACCCTAAACCCCAAACCCTAAACCCTAAACCCATAACCCATGAAGCCCTAAGCCCCGTGCCTTGCGGCCTCCAGGAGCAGAAGGTGGTTGCGAGCCTCACTGGGCACGGGGGTGGCGTCAAGGCCTTCCCATTCTCTGCTCGGTTTCGTGGAGCTTGGGCTTTATGGCTTATGGTTTAGGGTTTAGGGTTGAGGGTTGAGGGTTGAGGGTTGAGGGTCTAGGGTTTAGGGTTTAGGGTACTTTTTTGCCCTAAACCCATCAACCCTCAACCGCTAAAGCGTATGTTGCGTAACTGCTTCCCCCACCACACTTACCCCTTCCCAAAGTAAGGCCCATACACGGCTGAAGCAAGAGCTGTATGGGCCTTCCCTATAACCCTGAGCCCCGAATGATCATCGCACAGATCCCTGTGATAATTTTCGGAATAAGTACCCCTTAACGCACATTCTTGCCGTACACTTGTGAAAAAGATGGGCTGTTACTGTGCACAGGTTTAGGGTCTAGGCATTGGGGATGTTTCGGGTACATTGGGGCATGTTAGGGTCTATTCGGGTGCATCCTAGGTTTTTTCTTCTCGGATTGATTGTGTAACACGGCTTCTAGGGTTCTCGGGCTTATTTGGTTCACAGGGCTTCAAGGTTCAGAGGGGTAGGGTTAGGGCACCCTGACTAACCCAAACGCTAACAAATCCTGTGGCGCAGACCCTCAGCTTCTCCGGCAACGGCTACCACCTCGCGACCGGGTGGGGGCCCCACAGGGTTAAGCGCCAA